TTTTTTTTTTTTTTTTTTTGTGCTGAAACAAACAGAACTGGTTTGTATCACTTGGGAGTAAGTTGTTGGGGGAAGAATCAGTTTTGTTGTTTGTTTCCTTGACTGATGAAACCTTCCGAATCGAAGGTGAAATGTTTCAGCACAAAAAAAAAAAAGAAACTGTCCAGATGACCTGACTGAAAAATGTTGGATTTTATACCTGGATTATTGAGCATGGACTTTGTTGTATTCAACCAGTTTGACAAGACTGTCAACAAGGAAGAGGGCCAGCAATGGAGGAGGGGCGTACCAAAGAGACCATCTTATCACAAGCAAAACTGGTTTGTTCCACTTTGGAGTAAGTTGTTGGGGGAAGAATCAGTTTTGTTGTTTGTTTCCTTGACTGATGAAGCCTTCTGTATTGAAGGCAAAATGTTTCAGCGCAAAAAAAAAAAAAGAAATTGTCCAGATGACCTGACTGAAAAATGTTGGAAAGGAGATGATTGTAGATTTCAGGAGAAACAGGAACAGGTCCAACCCTATGTCCATCATGGTAGAAGAAGTGGAGAAGTATAAATACCTTGAAGTTCACCTGGACAACAGACTGGACTGAAAATGCAACAGTGAAGACGTCTATAAGAAGGGCCAGAGCAGACTGTACTTCTTGAGGAAGCTGAAGTCCTTCAGTGTTTCCAGCAAGATGCTGCATATCATTTATAAGTCTGTTGTAGAGAGTGCTATCTCTTCTGCCATCATCTGCTGGGGGAGCTGCACCAGAGCAAGTGACTTAAAAAAGATCAACAAGCTCATAAAGAAAGCTGGCTCAGTTCTGGGGACTCCTCTAGAACCTTTAGAGATGATTGTACAAAAAAGGATTCTTCATAAAATGAAGAACATTATAGACAACCCTCAGCATCCTCTTCATCAGACTGTCATACAACAACAGAGTGTGAAATTAATTCTGACTACAAATATTCAGTTGAAACCTCATTGGACTAATTTTAATTCAGTTCAATTCAGTTTATTTATACAGCACTAAATCACAACAGAAGTCATCTCAGGGACTGAACAGAAACATTCACATACTGTACATATAAAGTCAGTTAATAACATTATTTATCTAAGGAGCCAACAGATTGTTTATGGGTTTTCATTCATCGTGGTCTCCCATCCTAAGCAAGCAAAGGCAACAGTGGAAAAGAAAAATCTCCCTCATGAGGAAAAAACCTTTAGCAGAACCAGGCTCAGGACAAGTGGCCATCTGCTTTGACCAGCTGGGTTCGAGAGGAACAGGAAGGTTGAACAAATGAGCACACAATGACAGGTCCAGGATGGAGGCCATCCATTTTAAGTGGACAGTTTATGAGAAACCTTGATGCATTCTCCATGATCTTCTTCTGTTGCTAGTCTTCTCATTCTTGTCTGACAAAAAAAATTAAGTTGTCGGGAATAGCTGAAGTATAAAATACATTTTCTTGTGGAAATTAGTCATGTGTAAAGTAGCATTAAGTGCAAATACTCAAACTGTAAATAAGCACTCAAAAGTTTTAACTTAAAAGCAGTAAATGAACTACTTATATAGCACCTTTCTATCTTATCAAGATACTCAAAGTACTTTACACTACAATCTGTGTCCTCATTAACCCATTCATACAGCACTCTACTATATTTATACAAAGACTAATCAGTGCTTTATCACATTTGTACACCAATGGGACACACCACAGAAGCAATGAGGGGTTCAGTGTCTTGCCACAGACACTTCAACATGTGACTGCTGGTGGAATCGGACACCCAACTCTCCCATTGGAGGATGACTGCTCTAACCACTCAGCCACAGTTTCCCCCATTCAGTATCAATGTGTAATGTTAAAGTTCAGTGTGCAAGAGTTAATACCCAATGTACCCAACTGGCAACAGATCACGCTCCAAAGTCACTCATTGCAACCACCTTTTTGCCAAACTTATTCCTTGTCTGTCAACTATATTGCAAAAACCAGTGCCTCTTAGCGAACCAGAGAAATAAACCGGTGACATGTTTTAACACAGAAGCAAGTGAAGAAACAAGGTAAGAAATACACCTGAGAATTGCATTTATTAGGAACTTAAATACCTCACCAGCCAACTGTTAGCAGTTTAAATATC